ATATAGAAGGATCTTGACAGACCTGAACATTGGGTGCTATCTAACAAAATGAAATTCAATGGTGAAAAAAGTAAGGTTCTACATTTAGGTGCATAGGTATAGTATCGGTGGTACCTGGCTCAATAATAGCAACTGTGAGAGGGATCCTAGTGGACAATCACTTAAATATGAGCCAGCAATATGCTGCAGCTGCCAAAAAAGCCAACACAGTGTTAGGCTGCATTAACAGAGGGATAGAATCAAGATTACATGAAGTGTTAATACCACTTTACCACTTGGTAAGGCCACACTTGGAATACTGCATCCAATTTTGGTCGCTATGATATAAAAAAGATGTTGAGACTCTAGATAGTATAGAGAAGAGCAACAAAGATGATTAGGGGACTGAAGGCTAAAACATATAAGGAACGATTGCTGGAATTGGGTATGTCTAGTTTAATGAAGAGAAGGATGAGGGGATGACATGATAGCAGTATTCCAGTATCTCAGGGGCTGCCACATAGAAGAGAGAGTAAAGCTATTCTCCAAAGCACCTGAAGCAGTGGTGGGATTCAGCTAGTCCGCATCACTTTGGCAGCATTGGTAGCTAATTTTTTATTGCCCAGGCCCAGAATGGACTTCTGGAAGTGGCATCCACACAGAGAACCAGTTGTTCACATATTTGAATCCCATCACTGACCTGAAGGCAGGACAAGAAGCAACAGATGGAAACTAACCAAAGAGATGAGCAACCAAGGAGAACTAAGGAGAAATTTCCTGATAGTTAGAATAATTAATCAGTGGAACAACCTGCCTCCAAAAGCTGTGAATGCTCCAACACTGGAAGTTTTTAAGAAGAGATTGAACAGCCATATGTCTGAAATGGTATAGGATTTCCCTCCAAGGTTCCTTTCAACTTTATTATTATTATTATTATTATTATTATTATTATTAATAATAATAATAATAATTATTGTTTATTTTCCCTTGCTGTACCATTACAGAAGATGCTTTATAGAAAGTTCAGTAGAGACAAACCAAAAGTACACTAAGAATCAAAGCTGCCAATATTCAAGACAGTACTAGAAAAGGAGACAAAATAGTTAAATGCAGTAGAGAAAATATTAGGAAGTAATGTTAAAGACACATATTTGCTCATGTTCATATTAAATTCCACATATAATATGGCCTGCAGATTAGGGCTAATAGATTTGGACTGCAAAATCCAGATGATTGCTAAATAGCAGCAACGAGTTAGACTTTTATTTATCTTTTTGTTAATGGGCTTATTTTACCTACAATCAACTGAATTTTTGCAACTCAGACCTGGTAGTGCTACTTTAGAATGCAGCAGATTTGGGAGTTAAGGAGAGGATTCTTAATACTTTAACAATAGAATAGCACTAGCAAAATGCCATCATTGATTCCAACCTTTAAATACATCCAGAAAATACTGCTGTTATTGCTACTGTTGATATCCTAATTCTCCAGGCTATTAGTTTTCTATTTATGTTTTTATACTGCCAAGTCTCTGCAAGCACTAGAGAAGCATCATTTGAAGAGATGGGTTGCTGAGCTAGATTTTCAGAAAGAACATAGAAAAGAATTATAGGAGAGCACACTGACTGTTACTTTTTTAGAGTTAATAACATTTGGAATTTATATATAGTAATAAAGAACAAATATATTGTAAAAGGAGTCCCTGGCTGTGTTAATGAGTGTGGATTTTGATACCTTCCTTGGCTGCTATGTATGTTAATCTTTGTAATTATGGTTTAATTGTTTTTAATTTTAGTTTAATATTATTCACTGTCCAGAGTCAGTTGCCAAGATGAGTAGCCATACAAATTGCTTAAATAAAGAAATAGTACAAGTATTCAAGATGATTTTTCTAATTATTTGATTATTTTTTTGAGAAATGATACAGTTGATGTACCATTGCACATAGCAAATTAATTCCCCTGGTTGAGGAGCAGGTGGAAAAAGGAAACTGATGAATTTCTTAGGAAAAACACAAATAATAGCCTAAGAAATTAATTGAGAAACAATACAGTATGATTTTTAATTGTTCAGAAGAACAGCCAACACAGTTTTATTTCAGAGGCTTTTGTTTGTTACTGTTCCTTAAGCCAGTCTTTATAATATGAACAGAAATAGTCATTGTATATTATAATTTTTCATTTTGTTTATTGATGTAAACATAGTTTTATTTATTATGCCTTTAAAAATAATTCTTGTTTTAAATGACAATGATTAAAAACTGTAAAGGAATGTTCTATAAAAGAGTGGATTATATACCTTTGAAAAAAACCTTTTATATAATATTCTTTAAAGTAAACTATATGTCCCACTGAAAACTACAACTGAATTCCTTTCTTAAACACAATAGCTGCATTATACACAGTACATGACATCAAGTACAATGTAGTATGTATTTTGTGTATTCTGCATGAGCCACTCATCAGTGCATAGTTTAAATGCAGGAGACATTTGAAAAGTAGCTTGCATTTCTTTCATTGGGGATTGTAATGATTATTGTTTCAGAATTGTTTCAATCTTGCAAATAAAGTTTTATCGATTGCACACATAGGATATAAAGCAAGAATATGCCCTAATAGTATATAGTGGAAAATAAAATAACATAAATAAATAAATAATTAAATAAATAATAAAATAAAATAAAATTAGTAAATAAAAATCACATATTTCTGGCAAATCTATCCCACTTTCCCCAAAGAGTTCAGAATGGGGACTTAGTAATGTTTATTTAGAAATTCACATGTTGATTTCAATCTTGCTAAGCGAAGTAGTTTCTATTTTTTTTCTTTCTGTCAACACAATATTATAATTCTCTGTTACATGAAAAATAAGGTTCAGTTTCCTCTATTACAGACAGGTAGGCAGATATACAGACAGACACTGTCACCTTGTTGATTCTGCCAGTGAATCACTCTGAAAGGCAGAGTATTGCAAGCCATAATTGCACATTGCATTGTGCTCAAAAGACACAACAGTTATTTAAAATAGTATTATTATTTTTAGAAGAATGGATCTTTTAAAGAAAACGGTTTTCTTTTTAAAGAAAACCATTCCTTTGTAAGGAATGGTTAAGGACCAATCATATGCTTTTTCAGTACCTCAGATGTCACAGTAGTTGAATAAAATATTAATGTAGGTTGAGCTGTTGTTTAACTTACCATTCAACAGCTCAGTGCTGATTTTTAACAAATTAATAAGCTGTTCACACTTTTAATAGATCTTTAATAAATGATATACTTTTCATGAGCACCTGTTCAAAGAACCTACCCACCCTATGGTTGAGAAATAAAATTGCATTTAAGTGTTAAAAAGTGTCTAAATTGTATAAAAAGATAAATGGCTATGATATGTAAACTCCCTTAAGAGGATTACAAAAAAAGCAACCATATATGACCAGATTATACTATATGGCTATAGTTTGGTCATACATTATGTGTGCCGAATTGGTGCTATATCATATTGTCTATGGGCATTTCCTGGTTTAACGAAAAATAATGTTCATTCCACATGCCGACAACCAGCATGTCGTAGATGGTAAAGTGCTGGACTAGGAATAGGAAAATCTAAGCCCTTGTCCTCCATCAGGTACTGAAGTCAGCTGGATGTTTTTTTGCCACTAGTATTCTCTCAGCCAAAATTAGTGTCAGGTTCTGTGACATACCGCACTATAAACAAAACTGTTAATCATGCATTGATAGCTCTGCTATAGAAAGTAAATGGGTGAAGTTAAAAAAAAACAAGTGGACCCTGCAACTACTGTAGTAGGGACACACAAGCTCAGAAAAACAATGCTCGTTCTATTAGTTGAGTTGAATAACTGAATATAGTACAGCAGATTCCACAAAGACCTGTGCATCAGTGCAGGCAGAATTTCTTTGGATTAACAGTAAAAGAGCAAATATACCTTTAAAACTGGCTATAAAGACAGGAGCCCTGCCCATCCCTGCTCAGTTGCCTTTAATTTGCATAAAATACCATCTTGCCTCTGAAGATGCCAGCCACAGCTCTCTAGACCACAAAACCCTACAGTCCATCTCTGCTGAATGGTTTCAGCCAAGGCATGATTTTTTTTTTGCCATGGATGAGAAATGAAAAAGGGAATCCATCGCCTTAAAAAGTAGCACCTGCTCATTCTATACCTATTACTGAACAAGAGGCAGATGTAGTTGACAAAGAAATATGAGATAAATTTATCTGTGAATACATTTATCCTTTGTGACCATGATTTATTTAGATAGGAATGGTAACTACATGGTAGCCCTGAGCTTTGTTTTTTTGGCTTTCAGGGGCCATGTTAAAAATTGGCAGCAAACCCACTGTACTCTGGGGCACAGATAAATTCAGGTCTCCAAATTGCTTTTATCAAAACAATATATTTCTGAACATCCAAAGAGTTGCCTATCCAGGAGATTAAAACATGTGGACAAGAAGCAACCCATCTAACTATTCAGCCACCTTTCTTTTTTCAGCTTAGAGACTTCAGGGTGGTGACATTGTGAAATGCCTGTGCTTCATAAAAATGGTGGAAGCATTTAGTCATTCAGTGCTAAGACACCAGTGTGCTGGGGTGTTTCAGCTGAATGATGATAAGGAATGTTAAAGAGGTAAGGCTGACAATTTCCTTGTAAACAAACACATATTATATTGTGATTAATTACTTCTGGAACTATTAATATGAGTTTGCTAGAAACTATATAAAAGATACAATTAATTGTTTTGATAAGAGTGAATGTGATAATTTTTTGTCTTCCTAAAATCATAGTAAGGAAAAAAAAACTGTTTTTGGAAACACAACTCTCACAGTTAAAAGACATTAACCTGAAGATGGATGCTATTTAATCAATAGTTTCATTTTAAAAGTTGCTTTGTGATATTTATAACCCAATATCTCGTTCTCTTGATTTGTTGGTCAGTTTTAAAATGACAAGTATGTGTAACGGTATAGCTTTGTCTGATCATATATCAGAATACAAAGGACTCACATTTCTGAAGGCTGACAGGTCAATAAGTAAATTCTGTTCCTTTGATCTGGAAAGGAAAGTTTGATTTGCCTTTAGTGCCTGAACTCAGTCCAATTGCCTGAACCCTTTTATTAAAATCAGTCTGTGACCCAAAGACCAGTTTAAAAGACTAAATCATAATATTGGCTAAGGAGAGTATTCTGATCTCAGAAGCCTGTTCATAAATTCAACTCAATACATTACAGAGAGTACAACGATTAGCACAGACAAGCTGCTTTCCTGACAGTAGGAACAAGGGATTCGAGTTAGTGAAGCAGCTCCATTTCATGACAAACTTTCCTTTAGAAGTGGGGGTAAGGCAGGAGGACCTGGGTCGTGGAGCGAAACATGAAACTTAAATGCATGTATTACAGTCATAAGACAAGACATGAGTTATAAAGCAGAACATGAGTTTTAAATATGTGTATTAGTTAAAAGGAGAACAAAAGGAAATGGACAAATGAACCCCAGGTTTATTTGTCGGTCGCACACAGAGGTGTTAAAGTTGGAAGCTCTGCTCAAGCTAACCACATAGGTCTTTATGTCTCATCTATAGCTAACCACAAGTACGTTACAGGAAATTCAGGCACTTTAGAAGCTTTAGCAAGATATTTTAACTACTTTAGCATAGCAACAGGGGGGTATAAGGGGGTTGTGATTCGAAGCAACCAATCCATGCTACCTGTTACATTTCCGTGTTTTGCTGTTTCTGACAAGAATATATAAACTTGTGTTTTGTTATGAGAGGTTGTTCAGATGTGGCTACAAAGATAGCGCTCTGAACCTTTGCACAAATAAATCAACTTCTTTTGATTCCGTGGCCTGAGTCCTGTGATTTTCTGCAATAGGGGTGGGGAACCAATCCTTTCTCTTTCATGAGACCAATATAAATACAACAGCATCTTTGTAATGGAGCCAACAGTCCTGATTTCTAAGGATGCAGAACATATTTTATCACAATATGTATCAGATTGATGCTGTTTCACACACACAAACTGTTTCCAACATGCCCAGGACATTTTAGAGGTGTTTGAAATAATAAATTTAGTCTTACAGTTGTATATATAAAAGGAATCTGTTGATTGAATAGTAATTTTACCAACTCAGGTAAGGGGCACCCTAACCCGACGTAAGCTACTGACTAGAGTTTTAAAGGCTTAAGAAACCCAGGGTTAAGATTTTATTTTCTTTAAAACTAAGAATTGTTTTTGAGTGAACTCCATAAGCTTTTGGGAAAAAGAAAAAAGTTCTTTTAAGAATTTCAAAGATCAATGAAGAATCAGTATTATCTTTACGTTGTAGTTGCTCCTGGTTTGGTACAGTTGCAAACTCCCAAAGCCTATTACCCAGGTTTTCATTTTATTTTTCCAAACAAGTGTTAAAAAATAAAGGTCATAGCAAGCATTAAGTCATGGTTCTGACAGAAGAAACCCATCAAAAGAACTTCAAGGAATTATTTTCTTTAAAGAATCTTTTATTCGGGAAACAAAGTATTGGCACTACATAATTGAACCCCAAAACTAAATTCCCCTCCCCTGGATACAAAGTAACAAAGTACAATTCCCACCCCCAATAAACAGTCATAAAACACATTCCCCAATTAGCTTGAAGCCGGGCTTTCTCCCCAGCTCCCCAGCCCGCCAAAACGTTATCAGCTCTGGACCCAGTTTGTCCTTGGATTCTCACAGCAGAGTTGTTATTATTATGACTAACTGAAATCTAATTCCAATCCCCCTCTGAGCACCAAATAATTCTAAAAGCATAGAGAAAATGGCTGCATTTTCATCTGTTGTCAAAGCAAGAACATCTGATGTTAGCAGCATTGACACATTACTTAAAAATGCCAAGCAAGTTTCTAGGAGACAGGATTCTCTTTCCTTTGTTGTGCTTTAAACTACAACTTCCTCTTCACAAACCCTAGATCATAGTTGTGTCTTGGAACACACACTGGCATGTATAATATGCCTATTAAACTAATAACAGTTATGAGCTTTTGAAGCCCCAATCAATTCCAATTTTCCCAAACAATTCTTTTTAAATATATTTAACATAAAAGTGCATTTTAAAAGGATTATATATAGGCTTGATAACTGAATTCCCCTTTGCAAGGTTACATTTTGAAGATTTTTGTTACAGTCTTATATTGACTTAGACTAGCCTAAGGAAATGTGTAACAATTGTTCTTATAGCACAGATTCATCCTTGGAAATTCAACATCTCTGGTTATTTTAGCCTCCATAATATATAGTAAATGCAACCCCTGGAGTGCCTTGCATCTCTTTATTTTGGGATGCTGTCATTGATTCTGACTTGCCTATTAGAACTGCAGATGAAATTGGAATTTTTATTAACTGGAAGGATTTTATGGAATGCATTGATCTCATCATCATATAAATATTAATACATAATGTTTTATTTCAGTTTCTAGTTTTTAAATGTACTTTCAATTGATCTTCAGTCAGTATGATTTTTATGTAATCTACTCATGACTTTCCTCATATTATTAATAAGCAGTTTTCCTGGGTATTGTATAATAACCAGTTTAGTTGTTTAGGGCAGAATTTAGCCCAGTGATTGAGAAATCTGATTTTCTTTTTTTCCAGCCATTGAGCAATATAAAAGAACGAGATCACACATTTTTAACTAGTGCATCCCCTTAACTAGACATCTCATGCTGCTAATATCAAAATGTTAATGCTTATCTTATTCCTATACAACAAAACTGAGAATCTGATTACTTTGCTCAGAGCTTGAGATAGATCTGGGTCATATCTGAGCTTCACATTTTCAAAAATGGTTTTCAACAAGTTCATTTGCCCATATTGCTACCTACAGCTTGAGAACTATAGCAGTTGCCAACTTAGTATAAATCAACTCATTCATTCTATCTTCATAGTGAAGGTGCTTCCAGATATGGCTGTTTTCTACAATTACTCTAATTCATTCACAGAGTTTTATTAGAAGTGGGGGAATGTTGATGCATCATAGATGTTGAGTCCTCAAGTCAATGGTGAAAAAAGAGCACACATTCTGATAGTTCTAACAGCTTTTATTCTCTTTAGCTCTCTCCGACACAACTCAGAGGCTCGCAGGCCTCTCTGCCTCCTTTAATAGAATCCCCGGGCAAAAAGGTAACAAACTGGCACGCTTCCGCACCTTGCGCATGCGCGAAGGCTGGCGCCACTCAGTCTGGTCCCGGGCAGCTTACAACAGCCTGGGACCATTGCAACATTCCGAGCCTGCTTTTGTAGGCTCAGGACACAACATCCCTTCCCCCCGGATGAAACTTAATTAAACTATATTGATAGATATACGCGACCTCAATACGAGTGTGGTGTGCTATCCCTATGGAACCGCACATCTGTTGCAGCTACTTACTAGCCACACTATAGCATGGTACCATGCTATTGATTTGGAATTAAGTGCCCAAGACTTGCACTTCCAAGTTTCCCAACAGCAGGCACCCTCTTCACCTCCCTTGCTTTGACAGCAATGTCACAAAATCTTCCAGGTATTTGGGAGATCTTTTAACTCTCTGTGACCTCCTCAGATTTTGAGAACTCCCTAGATCATCCTGTGCAGAGATTGTAGTGGAGTTGCCCCCTCTTTTAAGGCCTGGTGGTCCCCGTGACCTGGGTTCTGTTGCCTGGTCTGCTTGCTTGCCCACCGGGCTCGTCAGACCAGGACTTTGCTCCCTACTGTACCTGGTTGATCTGCCTAACTGTAGGCTCTCGGGCCCCACTATGTTCCCGCCAGTATTTGGCATTTCTGTGGTACTCTCCAAGTCCACAATGGACCTGTCAAGGGAACGCATCCCTTCACTCCCAAGCCCCGTAACGGGGTTGTCTGGGGTTTCTGCAATACCCCAGTATTTGGTTGCCCCCCATTCTATGCCGGAGGTACCAGAATCAGGATTTGCCTCTCTGACTACCTCCCTGTGTGCAGACTTCCTTTCGGAAGCAGTAGCAGCATTGGGCCAGCTTATTTGTTTGTATGCCAGTTCTCTTGTGTTATTTGGGTTGTTTGGATGCTCCCGGTTATTCTCCCAGCTTGGAGTGCTGTATTGGGGTTGTGAATAATGAGTATGCCCCCTGGGTGACTCCCTGGCTGGAGTAAGTACTGGTGCCTGTATTGTTCCTTGTTCCCCTGAATTCCTGTTAGGAATCTCCGTTTGGCCCTGATTGCTGCCTACACCCTTCCCTTTGCCCACAGTGGTCCCCCTCCCCCCCTGGAGAAAACCCAGGAGTTGCAGAGGGAGAGTCCAGTCTTGTACACAGCTGATTGATATGCCGCTGAAGGACATGACCATCGTCCAGGGAAACCTCATAGGACAATGGACCAGTGACCTTGCATACTACCGCCAGAACCCACAGGTGACCGGGCCCATAGTTCCGGGTCCATACCGGGACACCCACTTGCAGACACCTTGGTGCCCTTGGTTGGGCGACCCGAGGAGCCATCCTGTCCGGATACAGCCTGTCAAGTTTGGTGACCAGTATGCGCCCCCAGCGAAGTTCTGCCGGGCTCTTCCCAGTGGAAGTAGAAGGTGTGGTGCAGTAAGCAAGAAGAAAATCTGCCAACCTGTGGTGCCAGTCCCCGTAGGTCAGTTTCTTTAGAGCATCCTTGGGGATGCAAACCATCTGTTCAGCCATACCATTGGTGGAATGGTGCTGAAGTTGCATGACGAATCATGTTGGCCTGCAAGAAAGCCTGAGATTTGGAAGAAGTGAATTGAGGACCATTGTCAGAAACCAGAACATCTGAAAGGCCATGTGCAGCAAAAATCCCTCTCAGTACTTGAATGGTCTTGGCAGCAGTAGTGGAAGAGACAGGAACAACCTCAAGCCACTTTGAATGGCTGTCAACAAGGACCAAGAAGAATTGTCCCTGAAAGGGCCCAGTGTAATCCACATGCACCCTAGACCAAGGTGACTGTGTCTCCTCCCATCTATGCACAGGAGCCTGAGGCATTTCAGGGTGTGAACGCTGGCACAAATGGCATCCATGCACTTGGGCCTCTATTTCCCTGTCTAATCCTGGCCACCATAAATGGCTGCACGCAAGCGCTTTCATCCTGACAATGCCAGGATGACCCTCATGGAGAGAAGCTAAGACTCTAGGTCTCAATGAGGTAGGAATAACTACTCTGCTGCCCCACAACAGGCAAAGTGGATAACTCATGCTTCTTGAGCCAGAAGCTCTGGAACTCAGTACCTGGACAACTCTCAGGCCATCCAGACAAAACCCATGACAGCACATGAGTAAGTGTGAGATCTGTGGCTGATTCAACAGCCACATCCCTGGCATTTAGGGGAGACTCAGGCAACGCCTGAATGGAAAGAATATTGATGGCAGGGGCAGGGTCAGCCTCTAACATTTGCAGAGGTAATCTACTTAGGCCATCAGCGTGGCCCATTTCCTTGCCAGGTTTGTGAATCAATGAATCAATCATAGGCTGACAAAAAGATAGACCATCTCAGCATTCTAGGAGAGATGATATGGGGAGTTTGTTTGTTAGTGGTAAACAACCCCAACAGAGGCTTATGGTCAGTATAGACCGTGAAATGTCTGCCATATAGAAAATCATGGAATTTTTTAATTCCAGCGACAATGGCCAAGGCTTCTCTATCTATCTGAGCATAGTTTTGCTCAGCAGAGGACAAAGGTCTGGAGTAATATGCAACAGGAACCTGAGTTCCATCAGTTCTTAAGTGGCTAAGTACAGCCCCCACCCCATAAGGGGAAGCATCACAAAACAGGAAGGGTTTCATTAAATGTGCAAGCACATCATTTGATGTAAGTAAGGCCTTGACCTCATTGAAACTTTTTTCATGTATTTGGGACCACTGCCACACTTCCTGCTTGTCTAAAAGCCTATGAAGTGGTTCTGCTACATTAGCCTTGTTAGGCAGGAAAGCATTGTAAAAATTCAAGAGGCCTAGGAATGCTTGTAACTCAGCTTTAGACTTAGGCCTAGGAGCCTGCTGTATGGCTTTTAATTTAGACTCAGCAGGGTGAATACCCCTGGCATCTATTCTGAATCCCAGGAAATCTGTAGAAAAAATTCCTATCTTGCATTTGTCTTTTTAAAGTTTTAGGCCTGTTTTTCTGAAGCGAAGCAAAATAGCCCTTAACCTCTCAGCTAAATTCTGAGTGGATTCTCCAGCAATAAGGACATCATCAAAATAGGGGCAAACCCCTGGGATACCTCTCAGGGTGTTTTCCATAACACTTTGGAAAATTTCAGGAGCTACATTTACTCCAAATTGTAGTCTCTTGACTTTGAATGCCCCCCTATGGGTTACAATAGTCTGTGCTTCAGCAGCAGCTTCATCATCAGGTAACTGTTGATAAGCCTGTGCCAGATCTAACTTTGAAAAAACACGCCCTCTTTTGAGGGAAGCCAAAATATAGCTGACTACAGGTACAGGATACGCATGCTGTTGCAATGCCTTGTTTAATGTGCATTTGTAGTCTGCACAGATGCGAATGTCCCCATTAGCCTTGAAAGGCATAACTATGGGGGTTTCCCATGGACTTGAATCAACAGGTTCTAAAATACCTTGCTGGATCAATTTATCCAGTTCAGCATCAATTTTCCCTTTAAGAGCAAAGAGTACTCTCCTTGCTTTCACCCTAATGGGATTGACAGTGGGGTCAAGTTTCAAAGAAACTGGGGGGCCTTTGTAAGATCCAAGCTGTGGACTGAAGATATCTGCAAACTCTTTGCAGACCTCTGCTAGGCCTAACGTTTGTAAATTGTGTAGCCCTGTAACTTGGATTCCCAAAGCCTCAAACCAATCGAGTCCAATAAGACTCGTTCGTTCACCCCCAACTACCAATACATCTAATGGACCTTCAAAATCCTTCTACTGTACTGTAAGGGTGGCCTTCCCCTTTACACACACCTTGGAATTTTGAAAATCTGTTAAGATTATATTGGATGGCCTAAGTTTGGCCTGGAACCCGCTGCTATTGCAAATCTTCCTGAAAGTGTGGATAGAAATGATTAAAAGAGCAGACCCAGTGTCCAGCTCCATAACCAATGGAACTCCTTGCAACCTCACCTTAAGTGACAGTTTCTTTTTAAGTGGCTTGTGTGTGCCTGTTCTATAAATACTTTTGCGTGATGCACAGAAACCCACCCTGTTTTGGCTGGGGACCCTGGTACCTTTCAGGCGCAATTCTTCTCGAGGTTGTGCCTTCTGACGGCCCAGACAAACAGATGCTATGTGGCCTTGCCTGCCACATGCTCTACAGATTGCAGAACGGAACCTGCAGTCAGCCCTCTTGTGGCGACCTCCACACCCAAAGCACTTGGACACAACTGGAGCCTTTTCTTTGCCTTCCTTCTGCTTCCTTTCTTTGGACGGGTAGAGATGATCCACCTCATCTTCAGGATCTTCCTCTGAGCTCTCTTGGACTCCCTCATGGTGCACGGAAACTGCTTCTGGGTTGTTCCTGATAGGCCTCATATTCTTGACCGCCCCACCTGCTGCCTCCTCTGCAGTGACCTCTCTCAAGGCATCTTGGAAGGAAATATCTTCTTTTGCAAAGAGTCTCTGTTGCAAGTCTCTGTTCCTTAGCCCGCATACAAAACGGTCTCTCAGCCTTTCTTCTAAATCTTTAAAGTCACAGGGCTTAGCTGCTCTTCTCAAGGCTGCAATGTATTCTTTGGCTGATTCACCAGCTCTTTGATCCCTCTGTTCAAACGTGTGTCTCCACGCAATAACAGACAACTTGGGCTGGAAATGTTCCTTCAATAACTTCTTTAAGTCTGTATAAGTAACAGACTCAAGAGGAGCAGGGGCTGCCAAATTTTCTGCAATTTGAAATGTATCTTGACCACAGACACACAGCAAAGTAGCGGCCTTCAAGCCATCTTCTCTAACTTGATTCACTCTAAAGTAATTTTCTACTCTAGCGACATAAGACTCCCATCTTTCTGGGTGAGTAACGTCGAATTCAGACAATCTCCCTATTTTCGCCATCCTTGCTTCTTATTCTAGGAAGGGGTCTATTAGCCAGCTTACCTCCAGCAATGCTATACTGGCAGGCCAGATGCTGAATTAACGCCATCTTCTCTCTCCAGGACTCTTGGGTAAGCCTTACAAGTCTTCTTTCTTTATCTTGTAAGCAATCCCACCTTCGTCGCCAGTGTTGTGTCCTCGAGTCAACGGTGAAAGAAGAGCACACATTCTGATGGTTCTAACAGCTTTTATTCTCTTCAGCTCTCTTCGACACAACTCAGAGGCTCACAGGCAATCCCCAGGCAAAAAGGTAACAAACTGGCGCGCTTCCGTGCCTTGCGCATGCACGCAGGCTGGCACCACTCAGTCTGGTCCCGGGCAGCTTGCAACAGCCCGGGACCATTGCAACGTCCCGAGCTTGCCTTTGCAGGCTCAGGACACAACAATAGACATTTGTTTTGTTTCTTCTTTTTTTCTGCAAAAAATCTGGTAAGAAACAGAAGAAGCAATAACTGCACAGGTTTTTTTTATTAGTTGTACTACAACATGTATCACCCCCCACCCACCAAATTGTTTTCTTCATGGTGCAGAATAGAGGAGGAATTATCTGGTTCCCATTTTCCATATCTGTTCTGTTATTGTTGTGTAGTTAAAAGGGTTAAGTCTGGAATAACAAAGGCTACTTCTTTTGGGGTCATCTATGCTAAACACTATTGTATCTCATGGTTCTGGAATGTTCTGTACTTTTAATATAGAAATACAGAGAGTACAGATTGTTCATATTAAACTCTCTGCCCCTTTATCTTTTCCCTGTTGCTCATGTCATTCTTTCTCTCCCTGGTTTTGCCTCCCTTTTGCCAATTACCAGTGGTTGATGTTTGCTGATGTTTAATAAATAAACATCAAGCTCTATTTTGTCTAGTGGAACTGAATGGTGCATGTACTTGCCCTCATGTGGATACACGGAATGACAGGGGTGTGCTGGGTGCAAACTAAATTGAAAATTTCCCACAGTAATTTTACAGCATATATCAGGAGCCATTTGTCTTCAAAAACTGGAGTCAAAATGGTTGCTCTCTTCTTTCCCCAGACCCCTTTTTTTAAACAGGTAGGATTAAAGAAGAATTAATTTTAATTATATTTGATTAATCCTAATAAAATTATACGCCACCTTTTGACTGGGTATGGTTTTCCCTGATAGATAATACTCCTATTTTTGTTTTTCAAGATAATTTTATCATAATTCATATTTTCATGGTTTATTGGTTCTGTTTTAACATAATCTGTGCTTTTTTTTCCTCACTTCCCAGAATAAATTTTAATTTAATGGGACAACAATATTAGAGAATCATTCATTTTCTCACAATATTTTAGAGCAAAATTACTTTTAAAATCTTGGTAGAGAAGGATTTTCCTCTTATTTTCCTCCCCTGTGAATTTTCTCCCTTTTAAAAATACTTTATTTGAACAAATACTGTATTAAGAGAACTTTAAAGAAGGAATGAAGGGAAACATTAAACAACAACAGCCAGTTCTGTCTTTCAGACTCTTTTGAAAAAGAACCTACATTTTTATTGGTGGTGCATATGTAGCTTCAACCAGGAGCACTTGAAAACAGCAGGTTCACTTGCTTGTTTTCTGCTTGAATCCCAGAAGGAAGTTGCTTCCAGCTGTTAGTGCTTTTCTGCCTTAGAGAACATGTCCATTCTTGTGTCAGTGCTGGCAGGTGGCAATGTCTGCAGGAGAAAATGACATATGCAAATGTGATGGAACCATCAGCACAGCTTGGCAAACTCGGGAAACTTGGCAATGTGTGTGTATTCCAGTGCTGGAGGAATATAGGCTGCAAGTTGAATTCCTAACTGGTTCCTTTACCGATTATAAATGCCAATATCTACACATTGATATGTGAGGCCAATGAATGGTGAGACAATAGAAGTATTTCACCATATTCTCTGCACTGTGTTACTTGTTAAATTCTGCACGTATGCACAGAGCACATGTTCCTTAACTTTCTTCTTCGTAGGATATAGCTACCTAAACACTAAAGCATTTTCTGCAAATAAATCTAATTTCTAATAAAGGAGAATATTTATAGCTCAAAGGTTGAAATGAGGAGTCCTTGGTGCTCTCCGAGCTTGCTTGTTTTCTTGCAGTCGTTTCATTATCCAAACTAGGTAACATCATCAGTGCTAGTAAGGAGTGCTGTTTGCTGTCAATTTACTGTATATTCTAGTGGCTTTCCTGTCAGTATTGGTGGGGGGTGGTCTTAGAGATTCTTTGATTAGGCTATTTGCTGTTGCCTTCTTTGGCAGTTTCTTGATTGGGGTATTGTTTACTTGATTGTTGGTTTGATGTTAACCTTGGAATTAATCTATGCTAATCCGGGTGCTGATTGCTGGTGGAGAGGTGCTTGGGTCTTTTTGTTCATTTTTGGGCTGGGCGATAGGCACTTTTGCATATTCTATAGAGGTTGTTAATGTCTATGTGTCTATTGATGGTGATGTGTCAAAGTGCCAGGCTTCTAGAAATTCCCTGTGTTTTTCAACTTGGCTTGGTCTAGGATGACCACTTTTTCCCAGTTGAAACTATGGTTAAATCTGTCTATATGTTGTGAAATTAAAGCATTTTCATCATGTCTTCTGACTGCTTGTTGGTGTTAATGAATGCATTCAGTCAGTCTTCTGCCTGTTTGTCCTACATAGTGGTTGTTTCAGTCCTTACATTGTATGCTATAGATGACTCCTGTTTTTTTCTTCTGGGATTGTTGAGTCTTTTGGTCTGCTTAGGATATTTTGAAGGGCTTCAGTTGGCTTGTGTTCTGTGCTGATTCTATGGGGTTCTGATTTCTATCTAATTTCTGTAAATGAAATCTGCTTTGCATTACTTATCTAGAACCTGCACTACCGTCAGTGATATCCATAGAATACTCCAACTTCCAATACTGTTATTCTCTCCATCCTTCTATTGCTCCTTTATCTCCAATCTTTTTCTTGAAGAATGACTTTTTCCTTTCATATCTAAACTGCCTAAGAGACTTTAATTGTTCTCTGTTTAATACTGTACACATGAGGAGAAACAGTTCATAAGTCTGAATGAAAAGGAGTACTGTGGTTCATGTAGTTAGGATGCTGCACTGGAGGTTAGCAAGCTTGCATTTGAGACCTGAGTGCTGCTGTGTGTGGTAGGGTGAGCTCCTGTCATTCATTCTAGCTCCTTGACGGGGACATGAAAGGAGACCCCAAAGCAATGGTGATGTCAGCGGCTAATCCTTTCAATGCAGAAATGCCTTAAGCAATGCCTCTGTCACAAACAGGAGGGGGAGGGGGAATCTGAATGAAGATAGTGTGAATTAACCTGATGAGACAATTGGGTATACAGGTGAGAAGAATGAGATGTGAGAACAAATTTCATCATTAATACTTATTTTGTTATTTATGCAATTTTTATCCTGCCTTTATTACTTTATAAATAATTCAAGGTGACAAAAATACCTAATAAGTAATGACATTTCTCACCATTTTTATCTTGAAATACCATATGCTACACAATAGATCTTCAGCAAGACTGAGCTGCCACTTTGAAAATCAAGAAAAGGGAAATAAGGTGGTGTGGTAGTATAGCAAGGATCACCTAATCCATCATCTATTACCTTATCTACCAGTAAACCTCTTCTTATAAAGACTTGTAGTATTTATTGTACTCATCTTTCCAATTATTTTATATCAGAAGAGTCATGAGAATAATATAGAACAATGATTTGATGATGACATGGTAGATAATCCATAAATTAGTGAACAAATTGTGTCATTAGATTTGGGTCTTCTCACAATGATTCAGTTGTGATTAGAGATGAAAGGAATGCTAAAAAGCTGATGTGGTAAATAAGAACAATCATACTTTATATATGTATGCAGAGTTCTGCCAAGTTTCTGGTAAATGAGTGACCTGCACAAGTATGCTTGGACAGATTCCATTCACTTCAGTGAGATACGGGACATATCTTGTGGTCTAATATTTCATTCAATGCTTTACAGAAGAACCAATGGTAATGTGCAAAACTAAAGATCTAATTGAGAAACATTTCAAAGGCTATTAATGTCAAAAAGGTTCTAGGGATTATTTCACAGTGTAATTGTTGTATCATTAATTTTATTCCAGATTAGATCTCATAACTGCATTGACATTAGTTTAATATATGCTTTGAATGTGATTGTGTGTGTGTGTATGTATGTGTGTGTGTGTGTGTGTTTGGGTGTGTTGTGAAAAAGAGAATGCATGTACATAACAGAAGAAGAAAAGACAGAGGGAAAAAAGAAAGAATATTAAACTGGAATGTGTTTTTCTATATAAAATGAACTGAAAAGAAATATCCCAGAACTACAATTCTGCTTACTGATGATTGAAATACCAAATGGTTCAGCATTCTTTGCTGCGTAAATGATTCATAACTTGCTAAATGTATTTCAATGTGAAGTGTTCCAGAAAGAGATGGTAGATTTCTGCAAGAGGAACAGAGGAAGCCATTCCTGAAATGAAATAAATTGCTTGAAATTAATTATTTGGGATGTGAATTCCGAGCAAAACTGCTAAAGATTAAATATTCCCTTGGTAAATCACAATGTAGGAGCTTTTTACTAATCAGTGAATCAATAATGATCAATGCCACATTCCACTTTCATATACTGTAAAGCTTAGTGGAGGAAAGTACCAAAGAACATGTTCCTCTATGACATGGGTGTCAAACTCGCCACGTCACGTGAGGTGTCACGATGTATTGTGATTCTTTTTGCATTGCTGGCAATGGGGTGGGCACGGCTTGGTATGATGAAACCAGCCCATTTGACACCCCTGCTCTATGATATTGTTGACTCAAAGTACACGTTGTTCAATTTTTAAAAAAAATTTCTAGTACATGACTCCTTTATTTCCTTTATGAGAAATGCAGCCATCTGACATGACAGCATATAGTATGACCAATTATTTTGGGATTACTGGGCATTTTATTTTGTATTATTAATTAGTATATCACCCACAACTTCATTCAGATTCAAACTCTTGCTCATTCAGAATCATCATTTTTCCTTTGTAGTTGTGAAAAACACCAACCTGCTTCCATAGTTCACACTAGAATTTATTTCTTTAACCTGCTCATTTTACATAGAAATAGTAGTAGCACATAAGATAGAATTCTAGCTGAAACTTCCAGTGCTATGCACGATAATCAAAGGGACAATATGGATATCTGTATTCAGAAATGATTATGGTTGCTGAATAGCAGTTCATCCCTGCTGACTTTTCCTGGTGTAAAAAGGATTTCCTCTCTCCATGGTAGCACCAGACTTCCAGTAATTTTATCTAATAATGCTGATATCACCAGTAACATAATATCCTATCTAATAACTTGAAGAAATTAAAAAAATGCAACTTGTGCATGAAAATTTCACAAATAAAAAAATTTTTTTCCATCAAATTTAAGGAAATTGTTAAGTAATGCAAAATTAAGAATTGGCTAGCACTAATTTTTTTTTTTTTTTTGGCTCTTTCATCCTTCTCATTCAGTTTATACCAACCCAGTGTAATAATGATAAAGCAAGAAAATCAAAGAAAAATATAAAAAGACCACATAGAACAGAAACAATTAAAATTAAAAAGTTCAACTGCTAGAAGCTTGATAATGGAAAAGTAATTTTGTTACTTTTCTAAAGTAGCAAAAAGGGAAGTGGGGAAGTGGTGATAGGGGGCAGACAAATTTAAATGATAGCTCAGTTCATATTGATAGAAACTCATATCAAACTTATAAAAGCTGATAACGGTAATGGAATCTTCAAAACAGACATTGGTTTGTTCTGATAAACAATTCTCAGTATCTTTAATATTTGATTTGTATCTATGGGAAATGATGATAAACTAGCTATCCTCACTCACATGCTTGCTAGAAATGCCTGGAGTTGTAGTTCCAGTTTATCTGAAAAGTTATCAAATTAGAAATAAGGATTCTTGATGTTCTCTGAACTTGGTTATTTTCTTGAAGACGTTTCATTACCCAAACTTGGTAACATCATCGGGTAATGAAATGTCTGCAAGAAAACAACCAAGCTCAGAGAGTACCAAGGACCTCTCATTTCTGACCCCGAACAACAAATGTTCTCCTTTAAATTAGAAATAGTTGGTGAAGATATAGGGTGAAGAAAACTTTTTCTTTTTCTTTCATTCTTGGCATTTCATTCTCTTCTCACCCCAGTAAATGAGAATTCTGAATAATTTAGAACTGTCCTATTTTATTAGGACCATACGGTTGGGATAAACATAGTATTTCTTAGGTGATAGCATTTTAAATAATACCTCTACTTTCTTTTTGGATTAAGGCTGATTTCTACACCAAATGAAAAAATAAACAGAGATCTATTTACTTTTTAAGAGCTGTACTCTCAAAGAAAGACTGCTGATACAGTTGAATTGTTGTATATATAATTTACAGTTTATTTTAAAACTTCATTTTTCTCTATCATCTATCTCTATCTCTATAAATTTGTCTGTCTATCATCTCTCTATCTCTATCTCTGTCTTTAGTTCTCTGTATATGTTTATTTCTGTGAAATGCTATTTCTTATCAAACCAGTTTCCAGTTTACAACCCACCACATTACTCTTTGATCCCTTTGTGACCCTATCTCTTTGTGATAGGGTCACAACAGTGAAAGGCAATCCGAGACCAAATCAAAAACATTCCTTGA